TCCATATGTAATTTTGGGCAAACACGTCATCAGGAACTGCAAAAACATTGAAACAGTAAGAGTGGCCATATTTGGTCTGCAGTAATGCTGATTAAAATGAGAATAGATGCTCATTACCTTTCCTCTTCAATTATTTTTTGCTATTGGAAATTATATTTATGATCTTCACAGAACCCAGCATCAGCTTTGCCAACATCTCCCTGCTATTACGAATTCTTACTGGAACTGAGGATATAACTGCAGCACTAAACCATTATATTATATGTAAAAATAACTTCATGAGAATTTCCCCCTTATTTTAAAATCTTGGGTCGATAACAATTTTTACAAAGCTCCTTGAGAGATAACTGAAAAGCAGGATTACAAAATTTGTTAAGAAATATTACTGTCAGATGGTTCCAACTGTTACAAGAAACATGTCTGCATTGCAGATTTAAACCACTTCTAAGCTGACTGCTAATGAAGGAACCATGGGAATTGTTGGTCCTTCAGTCAGGGGACTAGTATCGCCAACAAATTATTCATAGTGCTTACACCACACTAGAAACCACATACTTTCTGATGAAAAGCCATGACCATTAAATCAATTTGAAGCTCATTAAAATATTTACAGCCCCCAAACAGGAAAGAACCCGTCATGAAAACACTCAATCACATGAACATACTGGCCAAGAGGGATCTGCCTAACCCACTTGTATGACTGCATATAAATCATGATAAATATTTTTCCTAATAAATCATTTTGATACATGTACAACTTCAAATAATTATTATACACAGAACTTTCACTAACTTATTCCATATTACTGACTTGCACACTAAACACTAAAGAATATTTTCTGATCTGAAATACTGTAGTGTACTTCCATATAGACATGACCATTGACACGTAAGCCACATTAGCTACTTAACTATGACACATATGGCCCTTGCAAGGAGGTGCAGTTGCCAGAAGTAAGAGCCCCTTTGAAAGCTATCAATTATATATTCCTGCTTAAACCACACAGTAAAATGGGAAACTATTCCTAACTGTTCCAACATAAGAAACACTGGGCTCAAGGAAGACATGTTTTAAAGATATTTCTCAACACACACATACACGCACACACATATGTAATATCAATCCATCCATCCATCCATCCATCCATCCATCCATCCATCCATCCATCCATCCATCCATCCAATGTACCCTCCACCCCTAGCCCATTCTTTATTACAGGCCATGATTTCTCCTTCCACACTTCAGATTATCACTACATATATAGTTTTTATATCTCAGTCCTTCCGTAGTATTCCGTAACAACCAGATATTTCTAGGCTTGGCTCTCAAGAAAGAAGTCACAGAAACAATTCCCATTCATCTGGGAATGAAAATAAAGATGCAGAGGTTACTGTCTGAAGAAAGTATCTGAAGAAGTGAGCTGTGACTCACAAAAGCTCATACCCTGCGACAGATTTTGTTAGTCTTCAAGGTGCTACTAACTAGACTCTTGCTCTTTTCTACAGCAAAGGTTACTGTGTTCTTCACAAGGGTAAGACTTTCAAAGCCAAACCTCAGTCAAAGGTCATTGTATTGGCATGTATCCATCCCACCTGGACATTCTTTCTGGTGGCTAAAATGCTATGGCTCCTATACTTTGTTTCTGTTTGGATGCATCTTTGACTGTTGGCGAGGTGGAAGTCTGCTGTAGGGTACAAATTCTTCTGGGACTAAGCACTTCTTCTCATGCAAGATCAAAAACTCCCAAGGAGCTATAAAGTGCCTAGCATGAGATGAATGTGCTCCACAGTACAGGACCTCCTCTACAACAGACAGATGGGCTAACAGAAATAAAGCACAGGTTCCAAGCCTATGCTTCTACTAAGATGTTACAGCACTGACATGTTGGTCCACCCCCCATGATACACTAACATTACAGTCCTGCACCTGGTCTCTGAAGGGTTTAGGAGGGCAACCATTCAATGCATCAGTATGCCTAGCATAAACTGAATATATATGTTCATGCCAAGCTGCACTGAAGTAAATGTAGTACCAACCTAGAACTGGGAAGCATCAGGGTCTAGTTATGGGAACAGCTGGACTTGTCAGCGTCCTATATTCCTCCTGCCCCAGTCAACCTTCATTGCCAGCATAACAGGAGTCCTCCACATATGACCTCCTCCATGTATTGACTGAACATATGTATAAGGAGAGCCAGCATGAGTGTGGTGACTCCATCCCCATGTGGTTGCTAGATTCGAGAACAGCATCTACACATGTACACTCCCTCCCCATGAGCAAAAGCAGCATCCCCAATCACAGGGAAGGAAGCATATACATGAACACTGCCTTCAAACACAGGGGTCATGCATACAGAATGGTGGTCACACTGAGGCAGGTACACAGCCAGGATGCTCATGCCCAATTTCCCTCTTTATGTTCAGTCATTATGTGGATGGGGTTGTGGGCAGAGGGCTATTATGAGCAAGAACCTTGATGTAGTTTTAAACATCCCCAGGGAACATGGGGGTTGAAACTCCTAGATTCCATCCTTGCTATCCAGTTATCTATTATAGAGCCAGTGTGGTGTAGTGGTTAAGAGCAATGGAGTTTAATCTGGAGACCGGGTTTGATTCCTCACTCCTCCACATGAAGTAGCTGGGAGACTTTGGGCCAGTCACTCTTGTCTCAGAACTCTCTCAGCCTCACCTACCTATTCTCTCAGCCTCACCTACCACTCCTCCATATGAAGCCCACTGGGTGAACTTGGGCCAGTCACAGTTCTCTCAGAATTCTCTCAGCTCCACCTACTTTCTCCAGGCCAGTTTGGCCAGGGATCCTGGAGGCTTTTCTTTTTGTTTTGCCATCTTCTGGGCATGCAGCAGGGGTCACTGGGGTGTATGGGGGGAGGTCGTTGTGAATTTATGATTTATGATTCTCTTTATGATTCTCTTATTCTACTTCACAAGGTGCTTGTTGTGGGGAGAGGAAGGGAAGATCCTTGTAAGCCACTTTGAGACTCCTTAGGGCAGAGAAAAGCAGTGTATAAAATCAACTCCTCTTCTATTTTGTATTTTAAAGGCTTCAAGGCAATTCTAAATAAATATGGAACCCACTTGAATGAATGTGTCGTTGGAAGTCAACTTTGCCTTAGATTTGAAGAAGACAGTAGGTCTGTCAGTATGACTCATTTTTTTAAAAAAGTATACTTTTCCTACAGTACAGTAGTGGTTAAGCACTCAACACAACTACCACTTCTACTTCAAAATAATAAATTACTAATAGCTAATACTGAACTCAATTAAGACTTGAGTCTTAGAAAGTGTACTTAGGTTTGCGACCTTGGAGAATTTAAGCTGTGTAAAACCTTCAAGATAATTTAGAACTGTTCTAAGCTTGATAATTGTTTAAAGCGTATTCATTGGGTTTAGAACACAAAATCTTTCTTAAACGAAGAAAACGATTCAACAGCTTTTTTTAGTGCCTCCTAAGCATTTCTCACATTTTTAAAGCTTCCCAAGGAATAAATGAATGTTAATCATTATAAATTGAAGCACAGAACGATGAGGTAAGCTCTAACGCAAAGCTAAATCAATGGGGAAAGTTTCAGTGATTTCAATAAGCGGTTGGTTTAGGCTCTTAAATCTGAATTGATGCATACAGCCTCACACTTGGTTGTGAAGATTAAAATCTCAGGACTCTAAAATATTAAAAATGTGGGGACACTCCAATAAATATACAGAGTGAAAAATTTAAACAGCGATCTAGCACAGCAATAATACACATTTTTATGTCCTGCTACGATTGAGGCTACTTCATTCCACATATAATATGTGCTTACATTTGCTGTTGATTTGGGCTTTAATGTCTTTAGCGAAATTCTGTTTCTCTGCTTTAGTCTACTTATTACCTCCTTGTACAATGTGCACTTTTAGTAAGTAGCCACAATCCGTTATGCATATATGCTGAGGCAGTAAATGGAGTAATAAGCCAATACCATTAGAGAAACTTGCCTGAAAGTTCAGTAAAAGAAAAGGCAGCATTTCTGGAGTACAACTTTCATCTTCTTGTACTTATACCAGGAAAAAAGGCGTATGGAATGTAGTTTCTTATCAAGAGTGGATCAGAAAGAAATCCGGTAGTATCTCAGAACAACAAGCTCCATAAGGAATAAAGGCAGCAAATAAATGTTTTCAATCACTAAACAAATAAAATCATTGCAACAACTGTTTTGTGGAAGAGAAATCTCAATTTTTATGTAGTCATTTGTGAACCTCTCTCCCTTACGATAGTGACCAGTTATGAGATCATTTACAGGAATGGTTATCACCTTATGCTGTAATCTTAAAACCTCAGTCTTACACTGCAGTCCTAAACATTATGAATACAGAGTTACAGCCACCAAACTAACTGGGATTTATTTCTGACTAGAAATAAGGCCCGTTGTGGAAATAAATACAACGGGAGCTAGAAAGAGGCTCTGGGAGAGTGCTCTGGCTTTGGGCAAACAGTGTCAGTCTGCTTTTAAAACATGAACCTGGGACCTGCACACCACCAGAATACAGCAGGTTCCATATGCAACTGACATTCCAACTGCCTTGCGGGGGGGGGAGTTTGAGGTGTGGAATGGAGTGAAGTCCAATCAGCTTCCATATGCAAAAGACCAGGTTGTCGCAGCAGTTGTGGTGTGGGCGGGACCCGGGCTTTGCCTTCTGATTGGTGGCGATATATGCTGAGGAGCAGTGCCATCAGCCATACACTAAGGGAGTGCATTTTAGAATTAGAACTTTGGCACCCACTATTCGATTATATATAAGGAGAGATTATTTTTAATTGTGTGTGCGTCTGTGCGTGCACCTGGAAGTCATGGTGACCTCTGGTGGCTGACCCCTACTGGGGGCCTGGAGGATAGTCAGAGAGGTAGCTGAATAAAGCCTGCCCCTGTCCTCCTGACTTGCTGGTATTTCAAGGAGGTCTCCCATCCAAGTACTTGCCAGAGTTGACCCTGCTTAGCTTCCCAGATCGGACAAGATCGGGCTTGCCTATCCTATCTAGG